TGAAAATAACAACGCACCATCGTCGAAATAGTTGTATTCAGCAGCGACTAAGCAGACTCCACCCTCAGGTCTTTCACCTCAACGCCAGACTTGACCGTTTGGTAACACTGCCAGCAAAAATTTCAGTTTACCGTCGAAAGCTGGTTGCCAGCGAAAGTAACCAATCTTTGCTCTTCTTGGATCCCTGGCTTCATTAAACAGTTCCATAAGCTACTAGAAACAAGGGAACGATGCAACTGCATTAGAAAATCGTCAAGTACCGGGAGATATGTTGTTCATAAATAAATGTTAATAATAATACCCATAATTAAAATTTACGTTTATGAGGTAGTTTTATATTGTTTTTTAGAGCGATATAGCGTCTACGTCCGGAACTCACCTGTTTCTGTGGTCACTGAGTGGAGAACTGATAGCTGCGGTCAACACTGCTTCTTCGGAAAAACTCGACACACTCGAACTTATCCTTTGCGTCGGATTTTCTTCGGTATTTAAGTCGTGTTAGTATACAGTATTCGAAAACTGTTTTTAGTATAATGAATGGGATCCTCAAAACGTCATAATCACTGGTTCTAACGACGGAATCGTTCGAGTAAGAAGAACAATTTTGTAACGATAAAACTGTAATTAACTCTCAGGGAATAATATATGCTGATTTTTAGGATGAGGTTGTAAACCGCAACTCTTTAATTGTTGCTGTTAAAATATATAATTTATGCATTCTTGAGAGACAGAGTATGAAGGGAGAACAGACCGGAAGAACAGTGATTATTTAAGATAATTTCGATTACTTCGTCCATCTAGGATATTTATGATCGGCTCAGAGGTCCATCGCTGACTACTACACATGATGTCGGTATCGCTGAACATTGGTTTTCGTTACTGTCGACATCATATCATAAATTTAAACGCTGTTGCTGTTCTATTTTGTGTAGTTCGCATGTAACCGCTGATTTGCGCGTAACAGCATTCTATTTAATTTCAGATGTGGTCCTTGGAATATGTTCAAGTGCCGCTGAGTGAAAGCATAGACGATGATGCTCCGTGCGGTAATGCAGCTGTTGGAAAGGCAACTTCCAAGTTGAACAGCGAGGGGTCAGAGCATTCGTTCAGTGGCCAGTTTTCAGAGAAAGTCGAGTTCGATACTGACGAGGGGAGTAGCACTGACTTGGAAGACAGTCACGATGACCAAGCATGGGTTGAAGGGCACAGCGACGGATCCAAAGGCATATCTTTCTCTTGTACCTGTTGATTTGGTATTTTCTAAGTAATGCCAGCTCTGTTGTCCAAAAACTTGTATCGGTTCATGAGTTTATCGTGTATGTATTGAATGTGTCATGGTTTAGTTTAATCTGTTAATGGAGCATAGAGCATTTAATATTATAGGACAGTTTCATAGCTCTTTGATGTTCACTTCTATAGTTGGGCGAGTTTACGTATATATTAATTAAAGTTGTTCTCGTTTAGAACGTTCGTCTGCCAGAAGCTGCTCTCCCTTGTCGCACGATTCTGCGGCTGTCCACCTCACAAAGCAGAGTCTCAGCGATTCATTCGTCTACGTGAACAACGAAGGCGTGGCTGTCGTGAGGACCCCCGCACGCCTACGCAAGGGATTCAAATGGGAACGACGATTGATATTTCGATCGAAGTTAAGTATGCACACCGCTTTCGAACGTAAAGACAACCCGACTCCGGCGGCTATCACCGCCGTTCAGCCTTCAAAGTAAGAAGCACTTTTTTTTAAACTGTTATACTTATTCATTTCGTATTTTTTGACCATCGACCTTGCCGAAAACAGATGGTTAGGTGGATTGGCTACGACCCAGTCGAGTGTGTCTTAAGTAGTGGTATTTCCTTGATATGGAGCAGTTTTCATGCAATCAGTGCAACAAAGCCAATGGCAAAGGGTCTCAATAAGATTCGAGTTTTCGCTTCTCGTTCCATTGTTGGAATTGCAGCTAATTCATTGTTGGTTGAGGTCACCGCAACAGAGTTATGGTGAATATTTTTGGTTTAGCAGCATGTGGCAACAGGGTATATTGTGACAAAGTGGTAGAGTGGTCTGGGACAGCAGAACAACTACAATGCTGGCAGTTCGTACTGTCTTGAGGCAATTTTTGTATGAATAATCGCTTAAGTAGAAGGTTTAGCGCTTTATACCCTCCGGTAGATTTTCCACCCATTTCAGGAGGGTTGCATTTTTTATACTTGTATAAGATTCTGCTTGCTGTGGGCCAGTTCGACGCTTCG